TTTTTCAGCCAAGTGAGGGAATATGGTTGGGGATGCTTTTGTATGGATAATTCTAGCTTTGTCATCATTAAATTCGATATGACATTTTCAAAATTGTCACTGTCGATTATCAGGCTAAAAACTTTACCTTTTTACTGTAAATTTTGTGTGAAAGATGTGCCTTAGCCATGACTGATCATGTGCTAGTTCTAACTGTAAGACTCGTCGTATGACTAGCAATTCACCTTCGTCCTCGGGAAGTTCGTCGATATTGTCGTATGCTTCCTCATCCTCGCTTTCCTCCATGACACCTTGGTCCGTAAAAGAGACAATGTGTCTTATGGGATAGCTGGAAGGGAAGTGGCCGAAACCGTGGCATCTAAAGCACTTTTTAGCTTGTGTGGGCCTAGATGAGCTTCCCTTCCTGAGTTTCCTACCGCTTTGGTCGGTTTTCGTATTCTCGGACGTCGGTTTCCCCGTTTCTGGCGTGCCTTTGCCGGCAGTTGTCGCTGCTAGGATTGGTTTGCATGAGACGTGTTGCCAGAAGGAAGATTGTGGTCTAGTCTGCTTTTGTTGCCTTTCAACTTTCAGGGCTAAGGTTTGGACATCACTCAATGACCAATAGGGATATAGTTGAACTACACTGCTAGTGGCGGGCTTCGGGCCTCCGAGATAGCAAGCAATGATATGCTCCTATTGTTCGACCAAGTCACACTTTATTTGTAACTTATCGAATTTGGTTGTGAATTCCTCTACAGACATCTCTCTATTGTAGGTTGTGGAGCTTCAGGAAGATATCTTGGCAAAAGTGTGGGGCAGGTATTTCAGTAGTAAGGCTTTCTTGATTTTGTCCCACTTGGTGATTTAGTCGCTGTCATCCCTTGTTTGATGTCGTTGTAGGTTGTCCCACCATAACGAGACATGTTTTTTCAGTTTAATAGCTGCTAGTTTAACCCGCTTATATTTAGATATTTCCTTATAATCGAAAGTTCGTTCGACCATCCCCAGTCAAGGAATTCATCTGAATCCATACCTCTATCAAATTCAGGAAGAATTACTTGAATGTCAAAGTCGCGGTGGCCTGCGGGTTCTTCTCGTGGTCACCTCCAGTATTGGATGCCAAAACGGCTTGGGTGGCATTCTTCGTCGCTATTATCTTCCCTTTGGAAAATCGTCCTTGTCTTCTTGTCGACTCACTAAGTCATGATCGAGGGTGACTTCGTCTTGGGTCCATTCATCGAGTTCTGTCAATTGTCTTGGGTCTGATGTGTCTCTTCTGGGAGGCATAGCTGATGGATGAGAATGAGACGAGGAGGTTAGGGAAAAGGAAGGAGGGATAAGAAAGATTGACGAATAGAAAGACGAAAGCGGAAAAGGAAAGAAGAAAAGGAGAAGAAAAGAAGGGAAAAAATTTTTGACTTGCGTAGGGATGGTCGATGCTAGTAACCGTAGGAAAGGACTAGGGTTGAGCTAGCTCTGATATCAAATGATACCAGAGTTAACCCAAACCACGACACAAGATACGAATTTATTAATAACTTAAAAGGACGGTTACAACGGTGGCTCAAAAAAAAAAAAACAAAGACACCACATAAATCTAAACATGAAACAAAACATTATAAACAAAGACTCGACTTATTTAGTAATTGAACATAGATTTATCCTTTAAAAAAAGGAAAAAATATATAAACTATACAATGAAGTTATGAGAGGAAGTAATTGAAGATAGATTTAGTTACTTTAATATTGAAGAATCAACTTATTTTCATGCCAAGAAATTTACTATAAAAATGATTTTTTAAAATAATTAATGAAAAAATATTCAATGGATAACTTATATACATATGATTTTCAATGAATTGAAGAAGGCCTAAGATTTAGGGTCTGTTTGGACTGGTTGTAGCTTTTTAACAAGGTGGTTGTAAGGATGTCATGGAGAAAGCAACTTCTCAGAAAATTATGGTGGGAATTATAAATATCTATTTTTTTTCCAAAAAAATATAGCAGTTTTCGTATAATCACCGCACTTTAACAGGTTATGTTGAAAAAAACAGCTTTCGACCACAAAAAATTTTAAGGCGCAGTAAGAAAATAGTTCCCCAAATAGAGTTATGTTGGTGGTTTGAAATGCAAAACAAACACAAAACTATCCCAAACAGAATTTGAGTGCACTCGAATCAATTTAGTATATATTAAGGAATAAAAAGTGCATGTCACTGATTTGTTTAAGTTATAAAAGTCACCCAAAATAGAGCACTGGCTAGTATTAAAACTAGTTATCGAATAGCCACCCAAGTTTCCATCAATAGTATGATTACATCAAGGATTAGGACTAAGTCAAACTTTTTTATAATGTGCCTTTGTATTGTGTACCAACAGGTTTATAAAGGACATTCAAAGTGGCATGCCAAGGTATATAATTTTCAGATGTGGCATAATCTAATAAATAAGACACCTATTGGAATAAGTGAAAAATTAGACAACAAAGAAAAATTTTAAAAAGCGATAAGTTAAGGATTAGTAGAACAAAGGCTGCACATATAAAATGTAGTTTTAGTAGATTCAAGATTAAAAATTATCAATTGACCTCACTAAAGATAAAGTGATAAATAGATGTATTAGGTTAAGTGTCTTTAATTTATTATATAAAATATGAGGATATAGTTAAGAATATATATCTAGAACTATGCTAGGTTAATATTAAAAAATGTCTCATAATTTTAATGCTATAAGAAAACATAATGGAAACTTGAGAATAAATTAGGTTGGCTATATGGGTATTGGTATAGGGTAGTTAAGAAAGTCACTAATAGCGAACTTGAACATGGAGGAAATACAAATATTGTGATAGAGTTGTAGCAAAATAAGAAATCATAGATTGAGAAATGGTTGTATTAAAAGGGAAATTAGAATTTTTTGAAGATAAAATAGTAAAAAATACTCTTAAATTAATTGCAAATATACAATAAAAAATAGAAAATACACCCATGAGAAAAATATATAAAATTAATGTTAAAGGAATAGAAAAAAAGAGGAGAACATAATTAACATGAATAAAATTTATGCAAATAAAACATTTGTTAGAATAATATTAACACCACATATGGTGCTAAGAAAATGAATGGATAATGAGAATTTGTGAAGTCAACCCCAAATAGTTAACATAAAGCCAAATAGTTATGATAAGGCAGAGGATGATGATTATTCAATAGCTGCATAATCACCATTCTATTTATCTAAATCGTTCACACCTTTTAATAATTTGATCACCCAAAGTTACACTTCGATCACTAGAGCTACTACTATTAAAATTACATTCCATGTATTCAGTTTTAATTCTACTCAAATGAAGGCCTTTAAACTCCAATGTAGACCTCCATAATTCAAGTTTTTTCCTGAGCTTTTTCTGTCGCCTTATCCACGAGAAGGATATCATCAGCAAAAAGCATGCACTAAGGTACATCCTCCTATAAATGTCCAGTAAGACCATCCATAATTAAAACAAAAAGATATGGGCTTAAAATCAATCCCTGATGTAATCCAACAGAAATAGGAAAATATTTGGTCAATCCGCCTTCAGTTGGAACACAAGTAACAGCTCTAGTATACATATCTTTAATGACTTGAATATAACTCATATCAACACCTTTCTTCTCAAGAACTCTCCAAAGGATATCTCTTGGTTCCTTATTGTAAGCATTTATAAATTAAAAAAATCAAATGTAGATTCTCCTTATTATCTCTAAACTTCTCCATCAAACCTCTCAATAAATGTATAACTTCCATAATAGACCTACCCGGCAAAAATCCAAATTGATTATGATAAATATTTGTAATACGTCTTAACCTATGTTCAATTGTCCTCTCTCATAATTTTAAAGTATGACACATCAACTTAATTCCTCTATAATTTGCACATTATTGTGCATCCCCTTTATTCTAAAAAATGGGATCAAAAAACTCTTCCTCCACTCCTCAGCATCTTTTTAGTTTTTAAAATTATATTAAAGAGTTTGGTAAGCCAAGAAACTCCTAAATCTCCTAAATATTTCCACACTTCAATTGGAATATCATCAGGTACTACAGACTTTCCACCCTTGGTTTTTTCTTTAAAGCCTCCTCAACTTTTTTTTACTAATGCGACGGTAAAAATAAAACGTTTTATTATTATTAATGATATTAAGATCACTACGGTCAATCGTATTTTTAAAAACTTCATTATAAAGTTTATCACAATAACTCACCCACCTATGTTGAATATCTTTTTCTAAGAAAAACACTTTTTGATTTTCATCTTTAATACGTTTTACTTGAGTTAAATCTTTACTTTTCTTTTTTCTTTATATTTTTCACCCTCCTTAGCATCTAATCTATTATAAAGATCATTAAAAGCAGAATTTTTAGTATCACAAATTGTTCTTTTAGACTCCCTGCGAGCCGTTTGATATTTTTTTCAGTTCTTTAAGCTTTTATATTTAAACCAATTTTTATATTAAAAGCTTGTAAGGATAAATCCCATTTTAATATTTGGAAAAAATAATACAAAGTCATGAAAAACTTTCAAAGGAATAATAAGCTTTCAAGTTCATCCGTATTAACTGGACCTATGATTGGGTGAGGAATGAAAGTTATTTATGACAACCAATCAAGTTCAAAAATCAAACAGAATGAAAAGAAGAAATAGTTCTGATTATAATCATTAAGGAAAGAATCATAAGAAAATATTTGGAAAAATAAACTTTAAAAGTAAACAATAAGCAAGCACAACTTTACAGTATCACAATTTATAGGATCCATTTCAAGCTGCATTAAAAAAAGTCAAACTATAACGTGAAAGAAGTTTGGCAGATAATATAATAGGTGATGCATTCAATGAAATCAATTAAGATTTGGAAAGTCGTCTCGTGATAAAATAAAATTTGTTTGATAGCATATTTGCCAAATATAGACGATAGAATCTGCAACTGTTTAGCAAGTTAAGGAAAGCATGATACATTTTATACGGAAATTGAAGAAATTACCTCTTTTCTGCTTCGTTCCTGGCAATGGTTTCTTAATGGAGAACCACTGGCTGTCCAGCTTCTCAACACCTTTAACTTCAACAGCAAGGTTATCAATCAAAAGTGAATAAAACTCATTGCTGGATGACTCAGCCATATTTGTATCCATGGAAATTCCAGGATTGCTTATCTCTATTGTTGCGGTGACAAAATCCCCAGGTCTGTAGACTTCTTTATCTGTTTGTAGCTTGAAGGATGGAGAGAACCCAGGTTTTCTAGACGAGCTGCTCTTTTGATCATCAAACCATCTCCCGCCACCAAAGAAAGGGAAAACATGAGGAAGCTTTAATGACATCTCCTCAGTGTTTATCACCCATCCCAGCGATCAAGTCATAGAAAGTTGACAAACAATAACTGTCCAGTGACACCATTGCTTGGAAGACGAAATCTCATAATCTATGCTATAACATCTCCGAACCAGCATTCCGGCAAGTTTAAAACCTACTATTCAAAATCATAGAACGTAACTCAATTCAGAAACAAGCCAAAATCTTCTCAGATCTAACAAGCAAAACCAGACACAACATTGCCTGCTAGAATGGCTAGCTGTTTGGCTATAAGTACAACTGAATACAAGTAAGAAATTTGTAAATTCTGAGAGTATTACAGCCTGAAAATTCTATGGCATGGAAACTAATTACTTCTACTAAACACTGATAAGTTGCTTTGTTATTTGTTTGGGGATTTAAATTTTAAATAAATAGCAGAGCAGATCAAGGCAGGAAAAGGGAAAATGAAATAGAAGAGGAAAGCAGCACCAACCAGCAAGAAAGAAAAGTAAATGAATGCTCGATTACCGGCGGCGCTTTGGGAGAGTCGACGTGTTGGTGCGGAGCTCGGGGTAGCCGGACAGACCGCAGGAGAGAGATCCAACCTCGATCGACAGGGAAGCCGGCGGAAAGATCGCGGTGAGGAGATCACGAGGAGAGGCGAAATCGAGGAAGAAAAAGCGACGGTGTAGCACTCGCGGGTGAGATCGAGAGAGAGACGGGGAGGGGCCGCGCGTTATTCCGACAACACTCGCAATTGTCGTGATTTACTATGGCTCTAAAATGAATTTTATTTTACGGGAATTCTGTCTTCTTTTATATTTTTTTTTTTTTACATTTAATTTGAAATTAAAAAGTATAAAATAATATTTTGATAAATTAATTTTTTTTCTTTTATTTGAAAATATCTCAATTACCGCATTTCTTTAATTTGTGATGTGATTATTTGAGATATCATTGTCGTCAGCAAACCACCTATCAATGAAATTTTTGACAATATCAGCATCTATTTTCTTAATTTTTTGTTATTTGTAAAATATATTTTTGTTTTTTTTATTATTTCTATGTATCCTTAAAGTTATTATTTTAAATATGGCATAAGAGTTTGGTTGGTTATTAAGTAATAGATGTTAGACGTTCAAGTTTAAAACCTATTAAAGCCCAAATAACACCCACTTTGGACCTTGTAGAAAGTCATTTTAAATGAAGCTAGGGAGACAATAGTGAGTTTATGGTGAAACTAAGAAAGAATCAAAATAAACATATTTTGGCTTATGTTAAATTTTAGGTCACCTTATAGGACCTTTGAACCTAATGATACCCAATTGAATCCAATACATTATGACTCATTTTAATGGTCTAAAACCATTTCTTGGACTCTTTTTTGAGTCAAGGGGACTTAGTTTATCATGTTTGATCAAATCAATCCATGATGACACTATGAGGCCTGCCAAAGTTAAGTTTTTTTTTTTTTTTTTACAATTCCTTAATTTCTAATAACATGCCTAAGGCTAAGGATCAACAAAGACCATTCTAAGTCAACATAAGGTCTCTAAGCCCATGATCAACCTAGTTTGACCAATTGATTTGCTAAGAACCCAAATAATCAAATCACATCCAGATCAATCTACATTTCATATTGTCTTTAAATGAAGCTAATGAGCCTAAGGTAAAATTTGGACCTAGTTAATGTCACTTAAGGGCTTAATCAAATCCCTTTGACCATGAGGCTCATTAATGCCCATTAAGGCCACAAAAGGTCAAAAGCACTCAATTTTAGATCAAATCCAAATAAATTTAGCTAGTCATCTCCATATTTCACACCATAGCTAATGAGCGTAATCCTATGGCCTCCAATCCCCAACTAAATCTAATTGGCCCTTAAACCATTATTAGCAAATTATGGTCTAAATGAGTCAATCTAATCCAAATCAAATCATAGTGAACCAAGCTAACCATAGAGCTCAAGGTTGTGTTTTGGCCCTTATATACCATCTTAAGGATATTTGGACATATGCTTGACCCATGTCAAACCCATTGACGATGGATCCACCCATTTTTACCCAAAAGTTAAAGTCTCTCTTAAGTGGGCAAAATTGAAATCAAACCTATTGGATCAAAATTAAACTTAAATGGCTTAACCATGGCTTTAAGCCCCCTATCATTAGACTTGGCTCACTTAATTAGCAATTTAAAAACTTCCTCAAGTCAAGTTAATTTTAATTAAGCCCAATAGGTGAGCCAACATGATTAGTCAAGCCAAACCATTTTCATTTGGCTAACAAAGCCCATAATTTCTCAAAAAATCACAACCAAAAGCCTCCACCAAAACTCCTAAGAATTGGATAAACCATGTGTGAGTATGACACAAGGCAATGGTTGTCTCCTTGGCTCAGCTGAAAGTAAAGCAGTTCTCACCATCACTCCTTCATAACCTCTATCACCAAGGACCATCCTGTCATTTATGGGCAACTCAATGTCAACTCTCTTGCATTCCATATTTACAAAATGCTTGTTCATCTCTCTCCAACTCAATTAAGTTGGGTATATATATATATATATATATATATATATATATATATATGAGAAGGGACATTTCAAAAGAAGAATTTCCTTGCAATGTTTTCCTTCCCTTTGTATTTTTTAGCTTTTCTAGATCTCTAACTAGTCAAGACATATAATTACCTCCCTTTTTAAGACTTCGAAGCCATAGAAAGTTCAAACTTTATTGAGCTTCTTGTTGCTTTGGTCAATGTAGTCACTCAAACTTCTTCAAACATTGCAACTTGGTGGAGGATTACTCATTAGGTCAAGACAAAAGCTCTTATAACCATTGATTAGGTTAGAACATAAAGAAACCCATATGTTCCTTAATCACCTTCTCTAGCTCGTCACAATTTGATACTTTTGTGGATAACTTAGATACTAGTTTAATCCAATTATAAGTTAAAAAGATTAGAGCCACTTAATCCTTTGCCACTAGATCCCTTTATGTGAAGGGACCCATATAGATGGTTTATATTCCTTCACAAAAGTTAAAGTATAAAATTAGGGTCATTCATTTATTTTATTTATAATGCATGATCTTAATTAAGTAATATTAGAGAAGCATCCACTTATAAAAGAAAACTTGGGATAAATCTAAGTTGTTCAATCTTTGTCGGCACTATTTTTGGTGTGGAG